CCGAAAGAGACGACTATGCTTGTCGTAAGAGGCGGCTAACAGGATCGGGTGGTCAGGCTAGCTGACTTGGTTGATTCATTTCATCATATCCCAATTGCGTAAATCGATGCTCATGATGGCAATCACTGGATCGTCTGGTCCAGACTCGATTATTTACAGACCGCCGTCATAGAGCTGAAATATTGCTGAGTGGGGCGTTAAACAACAAACAAACAAACAAACCATAGGTTCTTTGATGCCACCGAACCAAGAGAAGGTTTAACGCTTTACACACGGCGTCGTTACATACACACGCTTGGTATGCCTTGACCACATTCATCTGGTGAAGCCCAAACAGTGAACTTTGATTACTGTTGTTTCAGCGGGAGAAATCCGACACTGAATAAACACTCTTCAGTTGGCAGTGTATATACTGACATTGCTTATAATTACCTGCTTTCGCACCTGTTAACATATATATCATGGACAACCACTAAAAGAAAGGTTGTGAATTCAAGTTAGCAGAATATACATGTACTTTCATCAATGAGATCCTGTTTGGTCCAAGCGACATATGCAGGTCACCACTTCATAGCAAACTCATTAAATTCAGACCTTAGTTCTCGTTATCGCTAAACAAAGATCTGAGGACATCCCATTACGGATCACGTCAGAACGACCTTTCATCCAACCAATCAGGGCGTCGCTTACAAGATCATGAAAGTGACAGACGGAATGTGTTTTCTAATCATGCAACCTCGAAATATTTAACAAAGGGTATTCCGAACGACAGTTACGGGTTTTATGATTATATCCCTATAATCTAGGCCAGCTATAAGCCATAACAGAATGCTATTGTTATCAGTTTTAAAATGTTTAATAGAGAATACGTCAAATATGTTTCGGAGCGTAGTCGCCAGTTTGAAACTTGTGCCGTGAAGCTCGAAAAAGCTGCCTTTTGATTGGCTAATGTCGATTTCTTGTCAGTTATTTCATTGGTCGGTCAAAGTTCGCGTAAGGTCGTTCTGACATGACCCGTAATGGGATGTCCTCATATCTTTGTTTAGCGGTAGCGAAAACTAAGATCTGATTTTAATGAGATTGCACTTCATAGTTGAGTAGCTGTTGTTCTTAGTGTCATCGGTGGTGGTTGTTGTTTTGTGCTGTTGTCAAAGTTGAAGGATGATTCGGTTTAGTCAGCTTTCATTTTCTCGACGACCAAGGGGTTTATGCAAAGAACTATTATATCCCCTAATAATAATAATAATAATAATAATAATAATAATAATAATAATAATAATAAGTAGTAGTAGTAGTAGTAGTAGTAGTAGTAGAAGTAGTAGTAGTATAATTATAATTATAATTATAATTATAATAATAATGCGAGAGGAAAACGCAATGCAGGTCCACTTTGATAAAACAAGGATCAAAATATGGTCGAATCTGGGATTCAAACCTACGACCCGAAGATCCTGGAGCGGCCAAGGGATGCAACCCCGTTCATAAAATTGCTGGTCCACACATGACCCTAATGAATAAAGCACATCGAACGTTTTTCACGATACCGAGAGTCGAAAGTGATAAAGCCAGTTGTCATCCCCGCCAGGATGTACAAGGAAACAAACAGTCTAACTGTATTCACGTCACGTACGGAATGTGGAGATTAATCAATTAATAACACCACAGATATGCCCTCATTAGGAGATACTGGAAAATTCTCTCACTGGTCACAGTGAATCATAGGACCACGTCCATCACTGACCGCTGTTTATCACTAATTGACCAGTACAGCCGGCGTATGGAACAGCAGTCGGGACATTCGAAGAATTCCTTATTCCCAGCAGAGTCTGTCATTATGCAGACATCGCTGAATGTTGTTTCATAAAATCAATACGATTTTTTTTTCGGACATATGCTGTTGATCGTACGCCCTTAGTCAACCACGATTTATGTTTGTGTTAACCAACTGAGTGTTGTTATTTTATCGGATGCGTTAATCATTCATTGGGATCAGACATAAGTTCCAGATTGGATGGTGTTCCTGTAGTCCAAACTGTTACAGATTTTAATGTGTGTTATCATCTCTCAGAATGCCCTAACGCAATTAACTTAAGATTTTATTAGACATAATGGTATAAGGAATTCGCAAATTGAGATACATTAAACGGCACGCGCGGCATTCCGAACATTCTGAGAAGATATCAAGTATATCGATCGCCTTAAATTACCGATCTGGCTAATTCACGATCTCGATTAGATTTCCAGCTCTCATTTATATCAATTTACAGAGGAGAACGGCCGTTGAATTTTACATCCGGGGACACTGTTTGTTCTTGGCTTAATTTTATATAACTCCGGTCTTGGATATATTTAATGAATTCGAGGATGACGGTTGCAATCAATTTAATTGGAACTATCTTTGTATAAAGATGCTGAATCAGAGTAATGGTGTTCGTAAACAGTGAAGCCCCTTTTATCCAGACGTAATCATTCCCAGGGAAAATGCCCAGATTAACTACGGATGAGGCGGGATAAAGGCCCCTCATGGCCTACTGGAAATGTCAAATTTTATAGTTCTTGAAAAGTTTGACATTTTGGTACTGAATTCATCCAACATCAATGGTCATTTTTACACTTGCAAGTTTTAGACTCGTACTGTGATTAGGTTCATTAGTGAAAGAAGGCAATTTAGCGAACTTCAGAAACAAATTTAATTGAGCAATCCGTGACCGACGATGACCACTTTGCCATATGTTTGTACTGCAATATCTTCTTCTCCGAAGCAACTCAGTATCCGGAAAACCACTAAAATCAACATTTTCGACACATTGTAGTATTGCAAAAAGCCCCAAACCTGCAAGTGTTAAGATTAATAACGTCTAATTCCCACTTCTATGTTCTCAACATGTGGATCTCGTGGGCCATATAGGACCGCTTTATAATAAACTTTCCTTTCTGGATGTCCAGATTAACGAGATTGTATTGTATAGACTCCGACATGTGTACAGACTTTATTGTGATGTACGTACTGGCTCCATCATTGATAAGTACTGGCTCCATCATTCATACGTACTGGCTCTATCATTCATACGTACTGGCTCCATCATTCATACGTACTGGCTCCATCATTCATACGTACTGGCTCCATCACTCATCCGTACTGCTCCATCTTCCATACGTACTGGCTCCATCTTCCATTCGTACTGGCTCCATCATTCATCCGTACTGGCTCCATCATTCATACGTACTGCTCTTTCTTCCATACGTACTGGCTCCATCTTCCATTCGTACTGGCTCCATCATTCATCCGTACTGGCTCCATCATTCATCCGTACTGCTCTTTCTTCCATACGTACTGGCTCCATCTTCCATTCGTACTGCTCTTTCTTCCATACGTACTGGCTCCATCATTCATACGTACTGGCTCCATCATTCATACGTACTGGCTCCATCACTCATCCGTACTGCTCCATCTTCCATACGTACTGGCTCCATCTTCCATTCGTACTGGCTCCATCATTGATAAGTACCGGCTCCATCATTCATACGTACTGCTCTTTCTTCCATACGTACTGGCTCCATCTTCCATTCGTACTGGCTCCATCATTCATCCGTACTGGCTCCATCATTCATCCGTACTGCTCTTTCTTCCATACGTACTGGCTCCATCTTCCATTCGTACTGCTCTTTCTTCCATACGTACTGGCTCCATCATTCATACGTACTGGCTCCATCATTCATACGTACTGGCTCCATCACTCATCCGTACTGCTCCATCTTCCATACGTACTGGCTCCATCTTCCATTCGTACTGGCTCCATCATTGATAAGTACTGGCTCCATCATTCATCCGTACTGCTCTTTCTTCCATACGTACTGGCTCCATCTTCCATTCGTACTGGCTCCATCATTCATCCGTACTGGCTCCATCATTCATACGTACTTCTCCATCTGCCATCCCTTCTGGCTCCATCATTCATCCGTACTGGCTCCATCATTCATACGTACTGGCTCCATCATTCATCCGTAATGGCTCCATCATTCATCCGTAATGGCTCCATGAATTCATGTGTACTTGTTCCATCATTCATGCGTACTGGCTCCATCTTCCATACGTACTGGCTCCATCTTCCATACGTACTGGCTCCATCATTCATCCGTACTGGCTCCATCATTCATCCGTACTGGCTCCATCATTCATACGTACTGGCTCCATCATTCATACGTACTGGCTCCATCATTCATACGTACTGGCTCCATCATTCATTCGTAATGGCTCCATCATTCATCCGTAATGGCTCCATCATTCATTCGTAATGGCTCCATCATTCATCCGTACTGGCTCCATCTTCCATACGTACTGGCTCCATCTTCCATACGTACTGGATCCATCATTCATCCGTACTGGCTCCATCATTCATACGTACTGGCTCCATCATTCATCCGTACTGGATCCATCATTCATCCGTAATGGCTCCATGAATTCATGTGTACTTGTTCCATCATTCATGCGTCCTGGCTCCATCTTCCACACGCACTGGCTCCACCTTCCATACGTACTGGCCCCATCATTCATGCGTACTGGCTCCATTATCCGTCCGTACTGGCCCCATCATTCATACTACTAACTCCATTATCCATACGTATATGGGTACAATGTATGAAGCCCATTTCTGGTGTCCCCCGCCGTGATATTGCTGCAATATTGCTAAAAGCGGCGTAAAACCATACTCACTCACTCACTCACTCACTCACTCACTCATTCACTCACTCATTCATTCATACTTACTGGCTTAATAAGTCATACTTTAAAGATCTATCTTGCGTACCGAGATTCATTCCGAAGAAAGTTCGCTGGAGGTGGACATAATATTAACCACATCGACTTAAACAAGATTCGACAAGACCGTAACCAATTACTGGCATGTCGTTAATGCACATACCACGCATGGGAGGTTACAATCAATATTCAATACTCCCGTTCAATCATTCTATATGGTTGAGTGACGAACAAGACTAGATAACGGTAATTTTTTAATGCTATAAGTTTACATCTGTTAAAAAAGCAGAGCCCATGGTTATAAGCATGTCGTGTTCAGGGCCAATGGAAGGGAGATCAAGTACAAACATGATACGCGTTATACAAAAATATTTTGAAAAATATCAAGAAATTGTGATAATTCAATATGAAGTTATAAATATATATTTAACGTTGTTTTGTGTATTAATGGCGGGTGCGGAGGTCTGTAAGAAAACACTTAAGCTGGCAGCATCATTTTCCTGGATATGCGGCTTTTCTTCTCGCTTTCAGTATCTTCAGAAGAATGGGCAGTTTTCTTAATCATTCAGAAGTCCAGGTCTGAAAAGATTGAGTGATGGAATAGTGGTTTGCACTACAATAAGCAATATTACCGACTGTCTGTAAATAACCGACTACAGGCAGAGCAGCGGCTAGTAGCACGAACTGCGACCAAAGTCGTTGAGGCAGGATGACTACAAAACAGCCACATCACAAATTGTATCGTCATTCCTCGCCTCTTACGACACGACTCGTGAAGATCAGGCTAAGAATAGGTCTTCAACAACCTATGCTTGCCGTAAAAGACGACTATGCTTGTCGAAAGAGGCGACAAACAGGATCGGGTGGTCAGACTCGCTGATTTGGTTGATGCATGTAACAGTATCCCATTTGCGTGGATCGATGCAGTTGATGTCAATCAGTGGATTGTCTGGTCCTTACTCTATTATTTACAGACCGACCGATGTGATTCACATCATGTGCATCGATCCACGCAATTTGGATCGATGACATGTATCAGCGACCTTGACTACCCGATCCCGTTAGTCGCCTATTACGGCAGGAATGGGTTGCTGAAGACCTATTCTACCCCGGATCTCTACGGGTCCCAGACAGTAGTGTAAGTAGGAGGTGCAGTGAGTATACTTCTTATGAACCACGCCCTGCACTAATGCTGACCTACCTCCACATTGTCCTTGATAACCTGTATAAGGCGCGAACTCTCCCTCCACGTCTCCTTGTCTGCCGTGTCTCTGTTGGCCTCAGCCGAATCCACACCCTGGTCAGCAAATCGTACGATCGTAATATGTCACAATTTATTAGCATTATGTTTTGCTGGTATTGCATAATTAAACAAATGAAAGTCTCACACGGGAATTTCAGGGGATTTAACTTGATCAGACATACACTGACATATCTAGATATATAATGCAGAGCTCAATGTCACCCCTCGATCTAGTTTGTGGTAACCGGGCACCTCGTAACATGGATAAGCTGTAATCCCTTGTATTGAAGTTATTCCACCAATGTTATTACTATGAAACTGGGAGGTTTGTTTGTTTGTTTTGGAATTTAACGCCGCACTCAGCAATATTCCAGCTATATGACGGCGGTATGTAAAAAATCGTGTCTGGACCAGACAATCCAGTGATTGACATCATGAGCTTCGTTCCACCAATTCGGATATGATGACATGCATCAACCAAGTCAGCGTGCCTGACCACACGATCCAGTTAGTCGCCTCTTACGACAAGCATAGTCGCCTTTTACGGCAAGCATGGGTTGTTGAAGACCTGTTCTACCCCGGATCTTCACGGGTCGAAACTGGGAGGTGGGGTAACGTAGTGGTTGCTGGAATATCGCTTAAAACGACGTAAAATCCAATTCACTCATACACTCACTAGCGAACCTGAATTGTAATGGACCGACCATGTGGTACTGTTGGGTGCTGGGGTAGTATGTTTTCAGTCAGCGCAAGAGTGAAAGGGGAGACAAACAAAACAAAATATTTTGAACTCTCAACACAGTGTTTTCTAGAACATCTAGTCTGTCTTACAGACCCTGATACAAATATATATCAAATACAGCCCATGCAAGTCTATAATGTTTGGCAAGTCTAGATCACTGCAGTATCTGAAAATGAAGAGAGTCACTGGGCTCCTTTTTATTATATTTTTATTAAGATAACTGAACAACTGGTTTTTTTGTACGATATGTTCATTTCAGAGACTAGATTTTAGTCTATAGAACATCCCCCGTGTCCAGTGAACGATTTTTGTTGTTGTAGTAACTGCTTATGACATAACTCTAAAAAATGTCCAGCATTGTCGGGAACAGAACTTTTTATTCTGTTTCGAACGTTACAGACCTTCTCCCTACAATTTACTAACTTAAATATACGCTCGTTCCAATGTAGCTGTACCTCCCTAGTGTCGGGGATAGTTAAAAAGACAAAGATTTACCCTCTTCCCATTGTACTATGTCTTTTCCCTACGCTCAAGGATAGTTAAAAAAACAAAGATTTACCCTCTTCCCATTGTAGTATGTCTTTTCCCTACGCTCAAGGATAGTTAAAAAAACAAAGATTTACCCTCTTCCCATTGTAGTATGTCTTTTCCCTACGCTCAAGGATAGTTAAAAAAACAAAGATTTACCCTCTTCCCATTGTAGTATGTCTTTTCCCTACGCTCAAGGATAGTTAAAAAACTAAGATTTACCTTCTGTCCGATGTGACAAGCCTTCTTCCTACGCTCAAGGATAGTTAAAAAACTAAGATTTACCTTCTGTCCGATGTGACAGGCCTTCTCCCTACTGTCAAGGATAGAGTAGTAGAAGAGAGATATGTTGAGGATGAGGCCAAGTCTGTGGGGATGTGTAGGCAGCAGTTCATTCATGGCGAGCTCCATAGCCTCCTGGTAAGCAGTGGTGGCGGCTGTCACCGACACTGGGGGGAAAGGGTTCACGATTCTTATATAGTCGCTATTTAAGTAAATATATGATTCGTCCTCCTCAACATTCCAATACATTGTGCTACAATACCAATGGACAAGGTTATATGAGGGCATCCCTAGGTTCACAAGAACTACCCAATTTAAGAAGTGAAGAAAACCGTTTATTAATACTATAAATGTGGTCAGATTTGTTCATAAAACCAACACAAGTGTTTTGCCATTTAATTATGGAATGTATTGCTGAAACAAAATGTGTAAGAAAGGCTATTATGAGTGGTGTTAATACGAGCAAGTGTTTGACCCTAATTGATATTCTTAAAAGATGCAGGTAAAGACACGGAATTACTCATAGAAAAAGCGTTCCTTTCACTTTAGACATATTTTATGCTTGATCAAATCCCAGACTTGCAAATGACGAAGAAATATTTTTGCAGTAAAAACACATTACGTAACTCCCAAAACATTAGTAAAAATTGTTTCTGCAGTTTTAATATTTACCATTTACCAATGAACCCGCGTAATACCTTGTCCTCTCCTTTTAGCATCATATGTTGAACAAAATGTTAATATGTGAATTTATCATGTACAATTTAAATGTTGGAGTGAAATATATGAACGTCATAACGAGCTGAACCTGTCCTCTTTTCTCCACTCTGTATTTCGGCCATATACCGGGGGTAGTCTCCCTTTAATTTGAGAAGTAGGACTCTGGTGTCAGGAGAGGACGCAGCGTCCAGAAGGTGCTTGTCCAGCAGAGTCTAAAAAGAGATGCAGTGAAGAAATAGTTTGGTGTTCATTGATTCAATTTCAAAAACTATTATTGATTTGTTTGTATTTTCTATATCAAAACAGAACGCAATGAAATTAATGACTGAAACAAAGTTTCAATAGATGTATTTAGATAATCAATAAAACCTAATAATTAAATCAGTGTACATCTATGGCAGAGCAAAATACAATGATCACTCCCTTTACAACTAAAATAATTATTTCCTTTAATATATAATGAGAGTATCACCAGGAGGTCTTCACAGATGTTTGTAATCTCCCTGTCCAATACGTCCATGTATTCCTTGGCAAGCTCTCTCTTCACCTCAGATCCTTCGTCTTTCCTTGCTTTCTCCTTCTTGACTTCATCCTCTTGGTCCGTTGTATCTTTCCCCGTGCACTGCTCCACTATGTTCTTCATCACCCGCCACGCTGCCCTTCTTTCCCCCACGGCGTTCTTAAAGGCCACCGACAACAGGTCAAGCTTACCTTGAGGGATACCAAGAAAGTCCAGCTCACTGGCTAATTTTAGTTTTAAATGCATTTCAAATTATAAATATGGAGGTAAATGAATATTCCCCCCCCCCCCCCCCCCAGGAATATTTGTTTGTTCAAATAAGAATTTGTTTTGGTTAATGTCCTCCTTGCTTGGATATTGCTAAAAGGGGCGGTCAGTTTAACTCGCTTACCATAGACCAATTACCATGCTGTATCAAAATGAAGAACCAGACACTTCCTGACCTTCAATAGGTGTAGGATGTCATGTGGTGCATCACATGTCTGTTGCAAATCAATCGCTTACATCTTACCAGTTTCAGCACGCGATGGTTCCTCCGTACACATGCACTTAGAAGGAGGACTTGAGATTTAAATGAAAATGAAAATGTCAATGAAAGCTGAAGGTCGCTTTGGTCTAGCTTGTGGTAGAGGCAACACTCCTCCGAACGGATAGATGACAATTACACGGTCGAACAACTCCCAGCATGTTGTTATACCATGTGGTCGGCAATTTTTGCATCAAAGACCCATTTCGATTGTTTCACTTAATTACGTTGTACCATCTATTTGCGTGGGAAATGGTACCACGTGGTCTCACGTCACCTCTAAATATATACATTACATTGAACTGCCGACCTGCAGTGCGGCTAAGTGCCCGTTACAGACAGCGCAGAATGAGATGGATGTTTCCTTACATACAGTGCATCTAAACTGCCAGGCAAAAAGAAGCATACACCTATGTTTGATGGTGGCTAAAGATGACAAAAAGAAGAAATGGTTATTCGATGGTGATGTATTAGCTACGGTGTCATAGATGTGTTTCGGACCTCAGTATTTAGGGACTGTTGTGATAACGTTTTGATAACGAGTGTAATTGTTTGGTCAAATTCAATTTTTAAATGTATACTTCTTTTTGAGGGCAGTTTGATTTGTGTTGACCTTGAGACAAGCGTGCCACTTTCAGTGCAAAGAGTTAGTGAGTTATTTGGGTTTCAACAGCTAGGCACGTGAATGTGAGAGGAAAGACAAACGTGTCGAGGGTTGTGAACGTTTACCTTGAATGTGAAACCAAGGATCACGTGACCTTTACTGACAGACCAAAGATCATATTGGGGATAACCGCTTTGCACCACTGTGCTTTGTCTCTCAGTAATGCGATTCTAAACGTTTACCACTTTGGCGAAACCCACAAGCACGGGTACAGTGCTAACAAACCTAGAATCGTAAACGGGGCGAACCGGGATTCGAACCCACATCTGGCGTACCCAACTCTGCTTAGCTTACCATATAACAAACCAGCTTCTACTCTGCTGTGATCATGATAAATAATGATATATACGATAATGATAATAATATGTTTATGAAAATGCTCATGAAGATTTAATACCAAATAACGGACGGGTGGACCCATGGCATAAGATCACTGAGCTGACACAAACACTCGCAGAGGCGCCACTAAAACGTGCTGGGAGGTCCACCCTTGTCCTGTTTGAAAATCTGCTATAAAGACCGAGGCACACAACTGAAATGATGCCAACGCGAAAACGCCACCAACTGCCTCGTCTGACCACAGGAAAGCATTTACCTCAGACACTTGCGCTGACAGTGTAAGAGCCTAATTAAAAATTAAAGGTAAGTATTATCGTCTTAGTAATACGACAACTGGAGACTCACCGTGTTTGTCAAGGTAATCTGGGTAGTCTTGCACTAGGCGTCTCGCATACCCCATCATCTCATCAAACCTCTCCCCTTGTTCCGCTAACTGAACCCGCATCAGCATCTTCTCTGGACTTTCCGCCATGATGCGTTTGATGTTGTTCAAATAAATTTCTTATAAATAAAATTCGTGAGTTTAAGCCTAATATTTAGAAACGTCAGAAATTTTCTTAGAACCCGTCCTTAAGAGATATACTTCGTGTCTAGATAGACAGGTGGTCAGTGAAGAAACATGAAATGTGAATTGCCTTGTTGAGCCTCAGTGTTGCTAACTGCTCATGACTGAAACCCAATCGTCCATGCATGCAGTTCGTCTTTGTGTTGTTTGAGTCCTTATTTCCAATCGATAGTTCACTTATTTATTTTATCGTGTATCGATAGCTAATTAATTAATAAACAGTTCGGATGGGTACATTGTTCTCACGTTTCCACTTCAACTCTTTCGAAACATCCACAAACTGCCTATCGATCTGTTGCTCTCTGTGTGTTTGGAAGAAGGGCAGAACCTTACATTACACTTGTCTCCAGATGACACGGTGCTCCCGGAACTGCTTGAACAGTATGTTCCAGATTCCCCTTTTTTCTGTTCTACAATAGTAAGGGCGTGTGGCTGCGTGGTTTAATAAGCGCTCCGCGATTCGCGGTGTCTTTGGATTTTCGTCCGACAAGCCTCACAGAACAGACACGGTCTAACAGGCAAACCACTACATCGTTTGACTTAGCATAACTGTTTCTTACTCAAAATGAGATGAGTTTAACGACGCTTTGAAACACATTCCCATTAAATCCCATCGTTTCGGTTTAATGTGTGAGTAAAGCCCTGAGTGACGCAATTCTTAGACCTGTACCCTTTGGTGAAATCCACGAGCACGGGTATCGTACTGACATAGGATCATTATTGAAGTGGATCTGAGATTCGAAATGAGGATCACCATATCCTAGCACAACTGAGAGACCTAACTCTGAATTTCACGTCAATCGCACGATAGTTAATTGATTAGCAGGGATTTTCAAGAACACCAAATTCAAGAAACTCTACTTTTCACAACGAAGCACACACGATAGATACTATGGCGTTATACATGTCTCAACGTAGATCAAACCCCTTCAAAGAGTACCCATGCTGTCTTAACGACCTAGTAAGGATAAAATATATGTTTTGTCGAGACTATCTCCTTGAGGAATTGGTGAACAGAAGTTGGTAATCCAGACTGGTAAATGTTTCCAGGGTTAAATGGCCCATTTGAACAAAGCATCTTAGGACACGCGGTGCATGGATGTTAGCCAATCGTTAAAACACATCTGTGACGTCATTCTATTGTTTGAACGCTCCATTATTTTTCAGGAATGGAGAGTTGCTTGTCAACTTTACATTATCTGGAAGCAGCATTTGAATTTTTCAAATATTTTCAACTACAGAATATTTTGTCAAAGTTTTAAAAGTAGGGATGAGTTTTAAGTAGGGGAATATCCTCGTAACTCTCCATTCCTTAAAAATAATGGGTCTCGGCCCCTGTGGGGCCTCTGCTCCATCATTTTTAGGGAATGGAGAGTTACTCGGACATTCCCCTCTACGGAATTACTCGGAAAGACAACGAACACAGACCGGAACTGGACGCAATCCCAGCAGAAAAAAACTCTGAAATAGTAATAAGATCACTTTGCGCAATTACATCAAGTTCAGGACAGTTTCCGTTGGATATATTCTGTTGACTTAGTATTTACTCACCCGCTCACTCTACTATTTCACCAACATCATGTCAGTTTCAACAAATCGATGTGGCTGCTTCAAATTGATAGTTCGTGTGGCTAAACAAGACAAACTGACATGTAGTCCTCACCCGACACGTAACACGTGTCTACCTCACCCGACACGTGAGTCTACCTCACCCGACACGTGACACCTGTCTTTCTCATTCGACACGTGACACGTGTGTCTACCTTACCCGACACGTGACTCGTGTGTCTATCTCACCCGACACGTGAGTCTACCACACCCAATATTTGACAGATGTGTCTTCCTCACCCAATATTTGACACATGTGTCTACCTCACCCGACACGTGATCCGTGTGTCTACCTCACCCAATATTTGACACATGTGTCTTCCTCACCCAATACTTGAGACATGTGTCTACCTCACCCGACACGTGATCCGTGTGTCTACCTCACCCAATATTTGACACATGTGTCTACCTCAGCCGACTGGTATCCACTGCTACCTCTCCAATGTTATATAATTTAAAATTATACATTTGCCTTTTTAACCTGTGAGTGAATATATTTATGTTACCAGTCAGTATATTCGTGAAGCTTTATATATCTGCGTGTGAGCTAAGCGACTCCGCAACAGACCAGTAACGAAAACGCAGAGGAGAGTCTAGGTCACGTGGCTGTACTGACTTAACTGAAGTAGATGGGCAAATACAGAGACTTCTAGTGGAGAGGTTATTTTGAAAACGCAGGGTGTTTTCTCTCCGCGTATGTACATGACCCAGTAGTTATAAACTTTCGCAAGCAAGTGATGCAAGAGAGAAAAAATGAGAAAAAAGTGAATGGGAGACAACAAATGAATGTAGCATCACGTATGTTTTAATAAGAGATGCTGACGTATTACAGTTTCAAGTTTAATTTTTTTATTAGTTTTAATGCAATAATTACGTTTTGTTACATTACCACTGGTCTCGTTACTGAGTCAACCGCTCAATACCTTAATCCACTTATTTGCGACGAACCAATGAATATGTATACGTTGGTTGCGATCTATCGTCCGGTCTGGGGGGATCACAAGGTGCGCTTGGGTAGCCTAGCCGTTAAATCGTTCACTCTTCGCGCCAAAGTCCCGGGTTCGATTCCCCAAATCAGCACATTATGTGAAGCCCAATTGTGGTGTCCCCCGCCGTCATACTAGTATTCTTGGAATATTTGTAAGAGCGGCGTAAAACCATACTCACCCACTCACTCTAACGTTCTGCGATTCAAGTCTCTTGGTGCGCAGGTTAAAATAATGCGTTTACTCGTGTCATTCAGGAACAACCAGAGCAGTGGCACCTAGAACACTGACGACATTCAGAATATCAACACTTTATTCTCCCATAAACAGCAACGATAATGGGACTGATCTCACTACAACCTCACACATATACAGTAAACTACGTTTATAACGAACACGTTTATTACGAACTGACCGATAAAACGAACTTAATTTTAGTCCCGGCCATTTGTTGTACATATGCTGCATATATGCTTGTAACGAACTATGGTTATTACGAATTAAAATTAGTAGTCCGTTTGTGTTCGTTATAAGCGTAGTTTACTGTAGTTCATTTGAAGGAAATATCTATGAATTAATATAGTAAAATATAATGAGCGAGACGTAGATTGACGTGTTGCAATGAATGTATAAAAAGAAGCCCTTTTATCCAGACTGAGTGAAATTGTCCGTATAAACAAATTTCCAGATTAACGTTCAATCTTACATTGCAATGTTTTTGTATATAATTACACAGACTAGACGTGCAGTCAGATAACACTGTATCACTATCTCTGTTCAAAGATCCAATACCAACAGCATATATACGAAGGATATACATGGATTGTGGAATGGAGAGTTGTGATATTTTACATTCTCCTTAAGTAAGGTCAGCATAAGCTTTATTGATTTATACTACTGTTAACAAATAATACTTTAGGTGATCAATTGAAACTTTCAGCTAGCTCATTCAACATAATGCTTCTATTGATTTTAGCAAATGTTGTCAACAAAGGCATTGTAATGATCAATTCGATTACATAAAGGGTATGCTCAGAACGCTTTCAAAAATCAATATGTTCAGTATATAATGTAAGCTTAGTAAAGTGATGGTAAATTTTCTATATTTGATGTACTGGATTCAACGTCAATCTGTACTGTCATCCGGGTCCTCCGAAGTCCATAACTGGAACATAGTATATACAACCTTCACTCACACATTCAAATAGGGTTTGACCACGTAATTGTTTAAACTTCCATAATGACGATCAATCACGTTTATTTCGTAATTCAGGCCACATGCCCCATAGTACAGTTGTAAGTGTTAAATCTCTGTTGATCTCATTTCACATAATTAAGCTGATATAAAGTTATCAAGCGTATTACATTAATATCACAGAAGTTCAATGAATTTGTAAACGTAATAATTACCTTTATAACATTTCTGTAATGAGGTAAAAAAACAATATATTTCTTACGTACAAAAAAGATATGGTATTCATCCTCTGCTAAATGAAAGTCACATTCTTCCGATATAGATTCTGTATATTTAACAGTGACCTTTTAGGAATAATGTTGGCTCGAAAGTTGTGAAGAGATGCTCGAAATTTACACATTGTTCTAACTAACCGTTGTCTCTGAGTACTGTTATATATAATTCCGGTTGCAGAAGAGATTTTATATTAGCATAATGCACTAAAAAAGTAGACGACTATAAACTATGGTCCCAAGACTCAAAATATATATCTCTTAAGCGTCTTCTGAATGCAGATAAAAACATGTTCTTATCATTCCATATCAAAATCCCATACTGTAACATAAGATCTGCTTATGATCTCATCCGAATATGACTAAACCTTAGGCTTTGTGTGCTGCCACTCCTGTGTCAAAAGACACAATGAGATCGTAAGTGATAGCAAATGGACTATATACTTGTGTATCATTACTGATTTTCATTGATCCATAAATATAATTGTCATCACTATTTCGGCAGATAATCGAGATTATTCTCTGGCGTTGATGTGTTGTACTATATATATATATATATTATTTTGTGACATGTTATGTAAGTTCATACAGCGATTCAATCATTTTAAATATGTTTTTTAATGAATTGACTCCTATCTCGACCTTTTTTCCAATTGCAGGGGGAGACTAAGTCAGGGGAACAGGTCATCTCAGGTCAAGTGTCCAGGTCATGATGTGGTTATTCGGGGTATCTCAGGAGTTAAGTCACTATTCATATAAAAATGTTGTCATTTAGTTTATTGTGCAGTATTTTGGGTCATCGGGTCAGTATATTGTTAAATTTATAAGTGGTCATCTGGTCAATATGTTGTTATATCTTGAGGTATTTCGGGTCATCGGGTCATATGTTGTTATATCGATATATGTTTCGGGTCATCAGGTCAAAATGTTATACTTTTATGTATACCGGATCATCAGATCAAATGATGCTATATCTTGAGGTATTTCGGGTCATAGTTAATGTTGTTATAAAATTATGTGTTTCGGTACTTGAGGTCAATATGTTGTGATATCTTGTGGTACTTTTCAGGTCATCGTGTGGTACAGGGCCATGTCGTGTGATAACAGGTCATTTCGGGTGTTCATGTCGATATGGTGTGATACCGTTTGGTACAGTGTGGCGTGATTGAAGGTCGCCTACCGTCAAATTGTCCCTTATGAGTTGAAGTATCTGTGTACTGCTCTTGTAGTTGGTTTCATCCATGTTGTCCAGATCAGCAATGGCCGCGTCGAACGCCTGAAACATTAAAGATCATGTGGTCAAGAAACGCTACATGTGGGCCAGTATATCAGATGAGGACTCAGTGAAGATCAGGGTTAAATCTGAACTTCAGCAAGAGGCGACTAACGGGATCGGGTGGTCAGACTCGCTGACTTGGTTGATGCATGTCAACATACTCCAATTGCCTAGAACGATGTTTATGATGACAATCACTTGCTTGTCTGGTTCAGTTGAATGTAATGAAATGGCTCTTGTAACGATGTTTCAGGTTTCAGGTGGGTGAAAGGCCAAATTTGGGAAACATTTACTATTTTCTGAGCCGCGGGCTCGAGTAATAAGCAAACAAACCAGGGATCATAACTGAAGAATCTACGACCGAGCCGGATTACCAGGTCACGCAACTCAGCCTCTGAATGAGAAGCCCCCCTCCCCCCTTATTTTAACCATCTTTGATTTGGTCAAAGACTGGAATAGACAACAGCTGGGATCATGTGAACATATGCTTTCATTGGTAACGTTTCTGTATTCATGATGCTCGAACTATCGTTCACGTAACTTTAATTTGCTTACACAACAATTAAGTTGAACTGTCGTTCACAACTGCGCAACATATTCCATACCGCGGAGGTACTGACCGATTTGGCTAATTTGCAGGCGTGGTGGCGGTTCTCTGCGATCTCATAGTAGAACACGGACATGTTGAGAGCCAGGCCAAGCTTCTCTGGGTGGGTCGGAGGCATTTCCTTCTCCACTTCAGACATAGCTCCCTTATAAAACTCCTCAGCATTTTTCACTGACGCTGAAATTGTAACATATTATACATTAGCATTTGTGTTGCAAAAAATCAATGTCATCAAACAGCAATAAATTGACATGACCATCCTACCTGCTTTTTTGTCGGCTGTTTGAATTTCCGCCATATAGCGACAGTAATCTCCCTTGGTTTTCAGAAGGCTCACCTTCACTTCCATCGTAGTTGCAACTTGGAGTAGATGTTTGTCGATAATTTCCTAGCCAGGAGAATGTAGAGAATTTAAATAAAACAGTTCAAGTGAAAAGGATCCATAAAAAGGTCAATGTTCACACGTTAACACAGGTTTATGACAGTGAGAAATACTGGGCAGCTTTAAAAATACTTGCAACTCGCCGTGATACAGAATGTTCATGACTGCAGCGTAGGACATAACGCCCTCAATAACGCAGTGAATAAGTAACATGACATGATACCACTATCTCTGTGCAGAACTTTGTGAGCTCATCTTCAATGTTTGCCAAGTAGCGCCTGGTGATGTCTTTCTTCCTCTCGTTGGTGACCTCGGGCAGACTGTTGATGATCCTCCAAGAGCACCGCCGGTGTCCAACACAGTTCTTGTAGGCGATCGACAGGAACTTCAGCTGACCTTGAACATAAACAGTCTTTGTAGACGATTGACAGGAACTTCAATTGACCTGGGACATAAACAGTTTTAGTAGACGATCGACAGGAACTTCAGCTGACCTGGAATATAAACAGTTTTAGTAGACGATCGACAGGAACTTCAGCTGACCTGGGACATAAACAGTCTTTGTAGACGATCGACAGGAACTTCAATTGACCTGGGACATAAACAGTTTTAGTGGGCGATCGACAGGAACTTCAATTGACCTGGGACATAAACAGTATTTGTAGACGATCGACAGGAACTTCAGCTGACCTGGAACAAAAACAGTTTTTGTAGACGATCGACAGGAACTTCGGATGACCTGCAACAAAAACAGTTTTAGTAGACGATCGACAGGAACTTCAGCTGACCTGGGACATAAACAGTTTTAGTAGACGATCGACAGGAACTTCGGCTGACCTGGAATATAAACAGTTTTTGTAGACGATCGACAGGAACTTCAGCTGATCTGAAATATAAACAGTTTTTGTAGACGATCGACAGGAACTTCGGCTGACCTGGAATATAAACAGTTCTTGTTGGCGATCGACAGGAACTACCATTGACCTGGAATATAAACAGTTCTTGTTGGCGATCGACAGGAACTTCAGCTGACCTGGAATATAAACAGTTCTTGTTGGCGATCGACAGGAACTTCAACTGACCTGGGACATAAACAGTTTTAGTACACGATCGACAGGAACTTCGGCTGACCTGGAATATAAACAGTTCTTGAAGGTGATCGACAGGAACTTCAGCTGACATGGAACATAAACGGGTCTTGTTGGCGATCGACAGGAGTATTAAAAGGTATTCCAGTCATATCACGGAGTGTCAGCTTAATGTGGGAGGAAAGCCCGAAGTGATGCAGGCCTTAGACGTTTACCACTTCGGTGAAACCCATGAGCACGGGTATGGTGCTGACAAACCTAGAAACCTAATCGGGGCGAACCGGGATTCGAACCCATAACCATAGGTTTGCACAGCGAATTGCGGCGCCTTAGACGACTGGGCCACCCGTGCCCCCTCGCGATCGACAGGAACTTCAGCTGACCTGAAGTATGGGCCATCGACAATAACTTCAATTGACCTGGAACATATACAGTTTCTGTAGGCGATTGACAGGAACTTCAGCTGACCTGGAACATAAACAGTTTCTGTAGGCGACCGACAGGAACTTCAGCTGACCTGGTACATAAACAGTTCTTGTTGGCGATCGACAGGAACTTCAGCTGACCTGGAATATAAACATTTCTTGTTGGCGATCGACAGGAACTTCAACTGACCTGGAACATAAACAGTTTCTGTAGGCGATCGACAGGAACTTCAGCTGACCTTGAATATGAACAGTTCTTGAAGGCGATCGACAGGAACTTCAGCTGACATGGAACATAAGCGGTTCGGGGAGGCAATGAGTTACGGAGCATTACACTTTATGTCGTTTAGAACTATTAACGTTCCTGAAGTCTGCTGACGTGTATATTTGCAGGCCACGGACATTTAAGTTCCGGTAGGTAACTGACTCATTGTGGTATAAAAGTTGTAACTTCAGCTGGACCCGAGTTGATCTTAAAAGTATTGGAACACATCGTTTAGCATTCGTTGTATTGATGTTTCCGTAAAGAATTGTAATGCAGCATAGCTAGTTCCTTCACAACGAAATTCCAGTCTGGACAAATGATTTTTAATTATGCAAGTTGTGACATGATCTACCTCAAACAACCATGAAGAGAATATACACAAACCGTTCTAATTTGTATCAATTCTATCGACGTGCTTCATTGGTTAACCACCGATATGCCTCCCTACAATCAGATCAGTGTAACAACATGCGACCCGCGACCTGTTGTATGTTGTATTATCACATTCTGTTTAATGCTTATCTTGGGCTCTGTCCTGACGCAAGTTCAGTGGCAGGTCATACGGTGTGTTCTCAATGCCAGACCCGAGGACAGCGGAAAATGCCAACTTACCTTCTTTTATGAAATATTCCGGGTACTCTCGGGCCAAACGTTTGACTACTTCGAGCATGTCCGTGTATCGTTCGGTATTCTCCGCGATCTTCAGTTTCAGAAGCAACCTCTCTTGTTCGTTTAAAGCCATGTTTGGGTAGTAATAATGTCTGTCACCTTGCGTGGTAGTATTGTAGGTACGTCACTTAACTCTCACTGCATGTATCCCACACAGCTAAAGCTCTACAAAAGATAGCATTACTTTCTCCTCAGTAAGGGCCATTCTGTCTGCTACTATGGCCCTGATAGTGTTATTATTCCGTTACAGCGTGGTAGTACAATAGCATTATTGATGAAGTGTATATTCATTGATCAGGCGAAGTCATTCACCCGTGCAAGCATCTGGTCCGTGTCGCCAGTAATTATCAATATTAAACACAGTAAATCGTACGCTTTATAAGTTTTGGTCATGATAACCTAATACAGAATTTTAATCTTACAAAGGTTTTTTTACGTACATATATAAGCAGGTGGGATGTTGCATCATCCAGTTGTGGATCACGTGATGAGATATTGATTCTTGGCGGTAAGGTTTGTGAGACTTCATAAATGTGTCAGAATATTCTGTGATCTGCACAAATTTAGTTTGCACATAAATATAAATAAAAAAACGCCAACCCCGGAAAATATCCAATTTCGATTATTCGCCGAAACAGAGTACATTGGGGTAAAAGGCAAAATAGCGGTGAAAGTGATATGAATGGATCACTGAAAATCAACGATGACACCATGGATTCGTGTAAAATAAGACGAATAATGAAAAAATTAATTCAATAAGCGAATATATGTTTCATGCAATATCCTAGAAAACCATGTTTAAATGAGGTTCGTTTGAAGGAAACTGCTCAGATAAGAAAAAGATTTAATTGAAGTGGTTTCGTGGTGACAAAACAGTCATCTGAAGCATGTTGACCATGGCCAAATGGTCAGTTGAAGCATACTGGCCTTTTCCAAAGGTCAGGTTGAATCATACTCAGGATTGGCAAAGGGTCAGCTTGGAGGATATTGATTGTTACAAGAATGTCAACTTTAAGAATATTTATTGTCGGAAAACGGCCCATATTGACAGAAAAAGTGTAATGGATCAAAGAATGTTACGTAGATTCTGTTATAATAATCTTTTTTTAATCTGCCTCTTAAGCATCCTCTGTCCTCGGGATCTACCGACTCACCAGTGCCCGCAGTAAGTGTACACAGAGTTACCACTGCTCAAGCATTGCATGGAGGGTAGGACTCAAATCCACAACTTCAATGTTTTGAGTGTCCTGGACTAAAGAGAAAAACAAGACGTTGACATTATATTCTGTTTATTACACAATACAAAGAAAGATAAAATACCTTTGATAGAACCAACCCTTTACGCGGCTTACTGCAATGGTTAACGCATATTTCAGATATTCATAAACGAAATGTCTTTCGGAAAAGTTAACAATAACACAGCGTCAGACCTCTGCCCACTACCGTCTGACTCCCACATATGCCTGCGATGCCACACAATCTGGAGCGATGCCAGCACGGAATAATTGAGGTGCTGGTGACATGTAGTTTGAATCTTGTCTAATCAAAAGTGGATTTATTCCACACGGCAAACTTTCGTCAGTCCACGTCAGACAGTTTGGTAAGATGTGTATTCCTTTTACTTCCTGTCCGTCATCAGCGTCCATTGCTGAAAGTAGGAAGGACTAGAATTAGCGTATCACAATTGGGTTGCAGGTGAGTGAGTGAGTGAGTTGGGTTTAACGCCGCCTTTAACAGTATTCCAGTTATATCACGGCGTGTCAGCTGTCAGCTTAATGTGGGAGGAAAGCCCGAAGTGATGCAGGTCTCAGACGTTTACCACTTCGGTGAAACCCACGAGCACGGGTATGGTGCTGACAAACCTAGAAACATAATCGGGGCGAACCGGGATTCGAACCCACAATCATAGGTTTCTGGCGTGCCCAAGGGACGCAACTCTGCACAGCGAATCGCGGCGCCTTAGACGACTGGGCCACCCGTGCCCCCTGGGTTGCAGGTGAGAGCGCGTGGGTTGGGTTGAGTTTAGTGATCAGTATGATGGAACGTTTTAAAGTCAATTGCATGACAACACCCTCAGGGCTCCAAGAGTTCCAGGTTCCTGTAAAAGCCTAGGAGCAAAAAAAAACTGTACCTACCTCTCAGTTGATTTTATCATATGTTTGATTTTCAGTCGAAAGTATCATTAAGCAAGGGATATATCCAAAACATGAATTAGAATCCTTCTATACGGTTTTATGTTCAAAAGTTTAATTTGATTTAAAACTTTTGAAATTTAAAATAATATTTCGCATAATGCACATGTGCTTGTGGGTATTTTGTCCATCTTAATTTTGAAAAGAAATAATTCCACGTTTTTTTCGGCACAAATTTACATTTTAAATAAGGTAGGGCTTATGTAGGTGCAAATCTATTTCTTATCCTAGTCTTCACTGAACCAATTTATTTTTTAACACAATTACCCCGGCAGCGCTAACATTTCACACATTGTTTCAGGAATGAGTGATGGTTGAATAGACTTACTCAAATTTATCAACAGTTCTATTAATTTTCAATGACATAAAAAACAAACTCAGTATACTTTCTTTTTCTTGTTCTTTTTTCTTTCTTTAACGCCGCACTTTGCAATATTGCCGCTATATGACGGCGGCCTGCAAAATAATCGAGTCTGGACCACACAATCCAGACAAGTTAAACTGAGACAACGTCCCACGTCCTCCTGATACAAGACACCCATGTCTTTGAGTCAGAGAACCACGTCCTCCTGATACAAGACACCCATGTCTTTGAGTCAGAGAACCACGTCCTCCTGATACAAGACACCCATGTCTGTGAGTCAGAGAACCACGTCCTCCTGATACAAGACACCCATGTCTGTGAGTCAGAGAACCACGTCCTCCTGATACAAGACACCCATGTCTTTGAGTCAGAGAACCACGTCCTCCTGATACAAGACACCCATGTCTTTGAGTCAGAGAACCACGTCCTCCTGATACAAGACACCCATGTCTTTGAGTCAGAGAACCACGTCCTCCTGATACAAGACACCCATGTCTTTGAGTCAGAGAACCACGTCCTCCTGATACAAGACACCCATGTCTTTGAGTCAGAGAACCACGTCCTCCTGATACAAGACACCCATGTCTTTGAGTCAGAGAACCACGTCCTCCTGATACAAGACACCCATGTCTTTGAGTCAGAGAACCACGTCCTCCTGATACAAGACACCCATGTCTGTGAGTCAGAGAACCACGTCCTCCTGATACAAGACACCCATGTCTTTGAGTCAGAGAACCACGTCCTCCTGATACAAGACACCCATGTCTGTGAGTCAGAGAACCACGTCCTCCTGATACAAGACACCCATGTCTTTGAGTCAGAGAACCACGTCCTCCTGATACAAGACACCCATGTCTTTGAGTCAGAGAACCACGTCCTCCTGATACAAGACACCCATGTCTTTGAGTCAAAGAACCACGTCCTCCTGATACAAGACACCCATGTCTTTGAGTCAGAGAACCACGTCCTCCTGATACAAGACACCCATGTCTTTGAGTCAGAGAACCACGTCCTCCTGATACAAGACACCCATGTCTTTGAGTCAGAGAACTACGTCCGGCCTTTCAACAAGCATATATGTTGCCAAGTCTGTCTCGGTATCATCACTCGAAACTCACATCTTAGTAACCCGGTAACATGCAGATATTTTTAGTAACCCGGCTACTTGTTCACATCTAAGTAACCCGGTAATTTGCTCACGTCTAAATAACCCGGTTACTTGTTCACATCTAAGTAACCCGGTAACTTGCTCACGTCAAAGTAACCCGGTTACTTATTCACATCTTAGTAACCCGGTTAATTGTTCGCATCTTAGGAACCCGGTAACTTCCAAACATTTACAGTAACCCGGTTACTTATTCACATCTTAGTAACCCGGTTAATTGTTCGCATCTTAGGAACCCGGTAACTTGCAAACATTTACAGTAACCCGGTTACTTATTCACATCTTAGTTACCCGGTTACTTGTTCACACCTTAGTAACCAAGTAACTTGTTTACATCTTAGTAACCCAGTAACATGTTCACATTTTAGTAACCCTTTAACTTTCTCATATTTTAGTAACCCGGTAACTTCCTCACATGTTAGCCATGTTAGTGTCATGGCGAGGAGCCCTTTATCTCCGGGTCAACAAAATAAATTGCACTAATACCAGGACGATATACTCTGTTACATCGGCACTAACACAATTCCCGAAATCAGCCCACGGGGACTACCGACCGTGCAGGGAGAATCTTACTCGATCTGTACACGTCTACTTGATGTATGCTTGATGCTATCAGTCCGTAGCCTGGAGTGCCCGGCTTCTCTTTAATATCTGTATGCAGCCCCGTGGTGCAAATTACCACGTTTTCTTTGTATGGTTTAGTCATATACCTAAGTTACATGGATATCTCCATTGTTCTGTCAATGTAGTAGTAGTAGTAGTAGTAGTAGTAGTAGTAGTAGTAGTAGTAGTAGTAGTACAGCCTCAGACGTATCAAAGCCAACAAAGCTGATCTTGTCCTTTTTGATAAATCCAATGAAATCATTTATATGGTTATTTTCGCTTTCGAAATGTCACGCTTGCATCCCAAGTACCAAGTTGTCCGACTCCCCCATTGTTCTCGGTGCCTTAGGTTTGGTACCTCACAATCTGTTGACTGACATTGGGAGAGTACCAGGGTTTGTTACCTGGAATACAGCCCTTCAAACAATCTGGGTAATACAGAAGGCTGCAGTGTTTGGGAGAGTTCGAATTCTCCGAAAAGTTCTGGGTGGGTTTGACTAGGCAGCGCTTCCTGGGAGAAGTCCCATTCGCTGTCTGTGCTGCGTGTAGAGGGGACAAGGCCCTGAGCTGATGATGAGCCTAACCAGCCTGACTGTGCCAGGATCACCAAAACCCTCTTCGCTGCATTTTATATTTTAATCTGTCACCTGAAATATTATGAAATTGTTTCATACTTGCACAAGTGCTAATGTACCATTGCAACGTGTAGGATATGCCTTGTTTGTTGTTTAACGTTGCACTTTTTCCAGCCATGTCTGTGTACAATCAATCCTGAACTAGACAATGCAGTTATTGATATTGTGAACAACGATCCACCCCATCGGAGTACGAAGACACGGAATCAACAAACGTCAATGCGCCCGACCACCCGATCATAGGTTGCTGGAGGCATGTTTCTAACCCGGCATCGCCCATCTTCCCGAGGCAAGTGAGTTAACTGACTATAAAAGTTCAGTTTCCACCCTTGCCGAACTAGGCTGGTATTATGGAGTTACATTTTGGCTGGAGTAACGAGTCTATGCATAGTCCAATCAAAATCACGCACCGAAATCGAAATCCGGTTCGTAAAGTGTCATGCAGATTTCGGTCGACTGCCGGATTTGCAAAGCATGTGCACCGCTAACTCGTTGTCAACAGATATTTTCTAAATCTTTTCATCTTTTTAATCAAGGTGCTCACGTGATTTGATGCACTTCGCGATGTAAGACTCGTTTTTTCACAATATAGATCTTGATTATCGATCAGATCGTCTTCACTGGGCGGCACCGTTTTGTTTGAAGCAAATGCAAGTGATACGAGAGGATGAATCTGATTGGTCAATAGGAGAGGCATAGAAAGGACATAACTCGTAATAGCCACTGGTGGCGCTACGATCGAGCCCAGGAATTCCAGCCTAGTTCGGCAAGGGTTGAAACTGGTCTTTTAAAGTCAGTTAACTCTCTTACCTCGGGAAGATGGGCATCGCCATAGGCTTCCTAATATAGGAGAGTATAATGTCCAAACAAAGTTACAAACACATGGACATCCTGAGTGAACCAAATATTTGGGAAATCCTCATCCCCGGGCCTCCGAGCCAATGAGGCAGCGAAGTTGACGAAGCCTTCGCTTGTCATGCCCGCACCGAGGTTCGATAGCACATGCGAGCTTGTGCTTTTGCTGTAATGTTGCGAAAAGAAGGTGTAAAAGCATACTCAAACACTCACCTCGGCCCCAGGGTACAGAATTCAATTTTAGTACGACGTTTGTGCAACCCCATACTCATAACATAGATTTAGTCGCAGCACAGAGATCACTTCGTGAAACCGGTCCCTGTAGTGTATACAGCTTACTTAGATGCTGTCACTCATCCTTTCGGGTACCGCTAAACAGCTGATAACACTTACAACCAGATTGTCCCTCAGTATCTGCATGGTGCTGGTACTGTTCACGTAGTCGTCCCCGTCTACTTTATGCACAGTATCCATGGCGTCCTCAAACGCCTGCAACATGGTGACATAGTATGCTGTAGTCTGATACAATCGCCCAAAACATATTAAGATATTTTAATGGGACCCCGAGTTACCCAACTAGAAGCTGGCTGTCTTGGTGTTATGTTTCAACGTGGCATATCACCCTAATGTACATCTTCCTGAGGCAAGACGGTTAAATGACTATACAAGTCCAGTTTCCACCCTTGCCGAACTAGGCTGGAATTATGGACTTTGGATGGTGTTTGGTTGTTCGGGGGAGTAACGTCCCTTGGCGTTTCATCGGATCGAATCCCAGATTCGCACATGTTATGATCTGGTTGTGTTTAATTGTTTACCAGCTTGGCTATCTTGCACGCCTCCTCCTGCTCTTGCATCTCGAACTTGAGTACGGAGTAGTTGAGAGCCAGTTCCAGCCTCACTGGGTCACACGGCCGCAGCACCCCCCTCACCTTCCTCATGGCCTCCGAGTACGCCGCGTCGGCGCTCTCCACGGAACCTGCAGCGAAACATTCAATGAGATCTAAGAAACTTCCTATCAGCGCAAAGACTGATCTATTTAAAATTGAGGCCCATCGTCAGTATTCCTCTTACAACACAATTTATTCACTTATGAGTTTCATGTTTCGTACAAGTATCATTTAAAATGGAATTGTTTACTTCAATTGTGACCACTTTTGATACTTCTTGTCGAATCAGTGTAAAAGATTGGAATGTAATCATACCTAAGAATGAATCAGTGTAAAAGATTGGAATGTAATCATACCTAAGAATGAATACAAGTATCCGTTTCCGTTCATCTCTCCAAACACAGGATTATTTCGAAATGATTTCCGATTATTGTTGTGTAATTTATTATGAGAATGCCTACCCTTGTGCGAATGTACCGTAGGTTTTGTTTGTTTCTTGTTTAACGCCGCACTCATCAATATTCACGCTATATGAGGGCGGTCTGTAAATAATCGAGTCTGGACCAGACAATCCATTGATTGATATCATGGGCATCGATCTACGCATTGGGATACGATGACATGCATCAACCAAGTCAGCGAACCTGACCGCCCGATCCCGTTAGTCGTCTCTTACTACAAGCAGTCGCCTTTTACGGCAAGCATAGGTTGCTGAAGATATATTTTCTTCCCGGGACTTTACAGGGAAGAAATGGTTATGACTGTTATGACTGTGATGACAGGTTTGCAAAATTACAACCCGTCAGATCGTGAAGTAGAGTGTAATTGTGTATGGAGTAGTCATGATATCTGATTCAATATGAGGACTGGAAATCGGTGAAACGATACAATAGCGAGTCATTAATAGCGATACTGAGTGCTGCTGATGACTACAAGCAATAGTTTCTTTGACAGATGCAAGATTCCATCGCAATATTGTAAATAATCGAGTCTGGACCAGACAATCCAGTGATTGATATCATGGGCAACAATCCACGCCGTCAGGGTAGGTGGCACGCAATCAACCAAGTCAACTGTTCGCCTCCTGCGACCAGCATAGGTAGCAGGGGACCAATTCTAACGAATTGTTTAAGTCATATAATTACTTCAAATATTACATTATACAATTATATACCGCAGGTATCCAGGTACACGTTTCTGCTTCAATACGGTCTTATTTTTCCGGGATCCGTTTGTATTCAACCCAAGCTGCCTACGGGCGTTGGAGGGTTTTTACATCCACCTCACATATCGGGTACCCATTCCCTGCTGGGTGAAGAGAGGCACATTTGCACTAAGTCACTTGCCCAGGGAGATACCACACGTTCCGAAACCTGTGTTTCGGGTGTATGTATGTATTCGTGTTTCCAGCATCTGGTCAACTACCATCTGACGAGTGGGTTCTTTTGATTGCACAGAGTGTATGAACTGTACTCTAGGGTAGTGACAACACTGTAAAGACCTGTAAACTTGGTTGGTCCCAAGGCTGAATAACAAGTGAGATAACTAGTGAGATACGATTTCAGCACCTGGCGTTTACCACATCACATTTGAACCTACTGATAAAGAAAGCAAGAAAGAAAGAAAGAAAGAAATCTATTATCAACGGAACCTGACACTACAAGGAGACGAAAGTCTATATCCATAACGCAAATATACAGAGAACATCTATTGGGTTTACTGGCAGGGTGACATTAGCTTTACCTGTTTCTAAAGAATTACCTTGAATTAGTTTGACAAACCTTGCTTATCTTCTTCCGTCTGCACTTCCGCTTTGTACCGGAAGTAGTCTCCCTTTAGCTTCAGCAGGAGAATTTCATTGGCGCGGTCTTTCGTCTTGGGAAGAAGATGCGTGTTTATGAGTTCCTGGACCAAATAAACAATACTGAAGAGGTACTGCGGACAATGTCCATCCACGACATGATATGTAGTTCATGGCTGCCATGTTGGTTGTGCATACATGGTATTGAAGGGCTCCGAGTTCATGTCGAGATCTGTATCCGTGAGGTTTTTTACATGCTGCTTTATGATATTGTCGACTAACATTGCACTCCATGATGATTGATCTCGTTTGATTTAACACTGAAGTTGGCGGAGATCAACTCATGAAAGAGTGGGAAAGGAGATCACTGGTGTTTTGTATTTCAGTCTACAGCCTACAACACCTCATCGGTTGAAAGTTATACTGCTCAATCACTGATGCATGGCTGGCTGGCTGGATGTGGTGTGGGATTTAATGCCGCACGCAGCAATATTCCAGCTATATGACGACGGTCTGTAAATAATCGAGTCTGGACCAGACAATCCAGTGATTGACATCATGAGCATCGATCCACGCAATGGGGTTACGATGACGTGCATCAACCAAGTCAACGAGTCTGACCGCCTGATCCCGTTAGTCGGCTCAGATGGATGGATGCATGCATGCATGTCTAAATATTCCAGCAGGTCCAGACTTTGGTATGTACACTTCACATCGTTTGAGGCAGAATCGAGCATGCTCTACGAAGATTTCAAAGAGTGTCATACGACTTGTCTTGTAAAGTTTTCAAAAAAACTAAATGGTAGACATGTGGAGGACATTTCCAAATGTGACGCATCAGTGACAATAATTATGTCCGATGCAATTCCCTATTTTGACTTGTTTAGTATGTTCCAGTATTTGTCTTTTAGGTGATGTTTAGGTACAAAACATGAAAAGATTTAGAAAGTTGACGCTAAATTGGCGGTACTCATGCTTTGCAAATCCTGCAATCGACCGAAATCTGCACGGCAGTTTACGAACCGGGTGTCGATTTTGTTACGTTATTTTCGTTGGACTCGTTAGTCCAACCAAAACTCCATAATTCCAGCCTTGTTCGGCAAGGGTGGAAACTGGATTTTTATAGTCAGTTAACTCCCCTGCCTCAGGAAGATGCGTTTTCAAGGCTCCCCACCTCAGACTCTAACCATTTCAACGATTAGACACCCGGTCCTCGTGAACTAACCTATGGTGAATTTCTTGGCAAGATTCCCTTGGTTTGACGTTTCCAATCCTAGTAGAAGTTCTGATTCATATGCATAAAGAAACTTTAGCAAGAAGGGGGGCACAGTTGATACGCATGGGAATGCCTACTTCTTGCCTAAATGTTTTATCCAATAAACAAGGCCCAGCATTTCACATATTGATTTCTCAGTAAACTTCAGATGATATTTGCTTTCATTTTTAACCAATTATCCCGAGCCTTTTAAGTGAGTGAGTGAGTTTGGTTTTACGCCGCTTTTAGCAATATTCCAGCAATATCACGGCGGGGGACACCAGAAATGGGCTTCACACATTGTACCCATGTCGGGATTCGAACCCGGGTCATCGGTGTGACGAGCGAACGCTTTAACCACTAGGCTACCCGACCGCCCCTTTTTAAGATAGAGATGTAACTATATTTATAGTCACCATGTTCAGTGACACATGACCCATGGATTAAGGAAAAATGTTTTGACATAATTGAAAAGAATTAAATGTTTGAAATCATCTGAATGTTGTAGAAGATATATACCATTCCAAACTCATTGCGTGTTTCAAAGATGCGTGTCATGTATTAAGATACTATTAATGATGCTCAAGCTATAACATGAGACCTCCACCAGTTGAACCTGTCACCGTGACACCAACCACAGGCATATCCCTTCCTGTTTTCTTATACTTTATGAACACGTGTGGTCCATTGTTTCTTTGCTTTTAGTTTGAAAGCTCTATAGCCAAGACAAACGAAAATCAATAGTTTCCTCTCGATAGTGATAACTAAAAGACTTTATTTTCAACCCATCAAAGTGTTGTAAAAAATGTTATTCTAAACATTATATGTTTCTCTATGCCTCGGATGTACCTCTGCTCGACATCCTAGTTGATAATACGAATGCGGATCAATGGGATGTTAGAGCAAACAGGTACAAGCAATATTGCTGTAGGGCAATAAATAGGCTGAATAAAAAAATGTTGATATTACGTAAGCATGTGTATTTTCTATAGTTTAGAGTCACACGAGTCCAAATTCATCACAATTGGACCATACAGACTGAAATAGATCGACTGACTTTTACGCAAGTGTCTCATTCCTCCACTGTAAAATTGTGTAAATATCACTTCATACCAGAATACATGGGAATGTTATTTGATTTAATAATAAATGGTTTTTAAAAAGGCTTACCAACATCTGTGTGCATATGTCCAACAGTTCTGTTGCTATAGTTTCCAGGTAGGCATGCATGACAGCCGCCTCCTCTTCACCACTCCCCTCCCAGGCGTTCACGCTCCTCCACGATGCCCGACGTTCCCCCACAGCGTTCTTGTATGCCACAGAGATGTGATGAAGCAGTGAGGGGTCGAAGAAGTTTCCAGAATGGTTCTCTACAAGATCATTTAAGAACTTGACCATGTCGTCATACCTCTCTGCTTGGTCGGCCAGTCGGACCTTGAGAAGCAACTGCATTCCTTCCTTGGACATTTTGTTGAATTGGATTCATCAAGTTAGAAGTCCCACCATGTGTTTGGTATTGATTATAGAGGATGTCGAGCAAGCATGGCTCGTCTCAGAGCTTCTGTGTAGTTGAAACTATGGTGATACGTTTGTTTTCTCTAGCATTGACGTTTCATATTTTTCAAAGGACTGAATGGGTTTGGTATAGAACATGTGCGTATCTTGGGAGTGCGCGAGGTTTAAAGACCAGCTCAATTTTCCAGGCTGATGTATCTAGATCTTCAGTAGGTACCTTGGATTGGTCTTCAGCGAGGCGACTGCTTATAGTAAGGGTGGTCAGGCTCGCTGAATTGTTTGATGCATGGCAATTGCGCAGATCGATGCTCATGTCAGTCACTGGATTATCTGGTCCAGCCTCGATTATTTACTGACCGCTTATTATAGCTACAGTATTGCGGAGTGCGGCGTTAAACAACAAAAACAAAAATAACCTGGGATCTGGTGTACGATTAGTAGTAAATCTGTAGGGTTTTTAACTGCCGAAAGTGTGTGTAGTGGCCGTTTCTCGGACCCTTACCTCGTGAATAATTATTCGATAACCATATTCTAAGGTTGCCTATTCCAAATACTTATACCTTGAATATTGCACTGTGAGGTTTCCGGGTTTGAATAGGTCCCTGTGAGACCATGCTTCTGGAGAGAACCGAATATGGATGGTGATTGGGTGGGATTTGTCCTGTCCCGATTATTCCTAGGCCAACATGACGTAGCTGTAATATTTCTGTGACGTTAAATGTTCACTCACTCAACCTTTGGGTATTTGGGGTCTCAAGCAACCCATGCTTGCCGTACGAGGCGACAAAATGGATTGGGTTGTCAGTCTCGTTGATTTGGTCGATTGTTTATCAGCATATCCTATGGCGTGGGTCGTTGTTATTAATAGCAATCACTGGGTTGTCTGGTCGAGACTCGACTATTAACAGGGCGTCGACATAGAAATGTAGCATTACCGAGTGCGACGTTTATCAAGCAAATTCAAACATTCTGGCAGCTGTTGAACCCATTGGGTTTTTTTAGGGACGAACGCAGGTCTACAACCAATTCAAGACGTAAATGTTCCAGGAATTTACGGTTAGTTTCTTGAGACGACCCCCTCTTCTGCATCGCTACACATTGTTTTTATGCCTAGGTTGAATTATCGATTATTTTCTTAATGTTTAAGTGTAATTAGTCTCATCCAATACCATTAGTGGTCTCCATAAACTCGTCTGTTCTATTTAATCAGTTCATCTTCGGTTAAGAATATTCTATGATGACAGCGTTGACAGACAGTCAGTCAGTCAACATAGTTGGGTTTTACGCGGTCTTCGGGTGTTGGCCAACAGTTCAAAAGCAAGACCAATTTTGGGTAGGGTAGAACACAAAATGGTAATGTTTTCTTCATGGAAACCTTGTCGACAAAGCACGATCAATAACATCACAGCATCAGCCTTTTTGTGCCCAGCTAGCAGCTTATGTAATATCCCAGCAGGCATCGCCTGTGTATCTTTTCAACAAAGGAAGTCAGCATGACCATAAAAAAATCATTTAACCTGTACATTTTAATGTTTGGTGACTTCAATGCCTCTTCCAAAGTCAAGTCTGGTTAAACTTGCACATTATCATGGCATATGAAGATACGTACATCCAAAAAACTGATAATACAGTTACAAATGGCTTGATTGTTCTACTGCACTTTTAGCAATATTTCATTTAATACCATGGTGAGTGTGGTTGTTTAACACCACATTCAGCAATATTTTAGCTATAGATGAAGGTAGCATGTAAAATAATCGAGCCTGGACCAGAAAACCCAGTGACATACATTATGGGCAACAATCCACGCAGTGCGCCAAATACATTAAGTTGCCTCTTACAAGCATGGGTTGCTGGGTAACCATTCTAACAGCAAAAATGGGTTCACACACTGTGTCCAAGGGAGTATTGAACCAGGCCTTCAGTGAGGAGCTTACCCTCCATCCACTAGGCTACCCAAATAATTGCTTGGGGTGTTTACACGCGTTTATTTTGGCAGATACAGAATCAACTGAAAAATCCACAAATCTAGAAATCATTTAAGCTAAAACATCAGGATCAAGAGTGGGTTTTTTTCAGGGCGTTTTCGCCAGTTAAGCCTCGCATATTGTGCAAGCTGCATGGAGGTCTATTTCACCGTCGGTCAGCAATATTCCAGCTGAATATTGGCAGCCTGAAAACAAGGCTAATCAGATATGCGTCTTTGAACGGACCGACCCTTATCTGAAGCCCCTAACCCTTAACCTCTATTCTCAAGTTGAACTTCATCACCATTTCGGTATTTTATGATACTAGTGTAAATTTGTTGCGATGATTTAGATATCACTGTCTTCAAATGATTAATAACCAAACGTCTGAAAAACGACCTACCCACTTACTGTTGGATGGGCAGAAATAGAAAATACACGTTTGGGCCAGATAAGTCTGGAGCAGTAGAAACAATGGCTGGTCAACAGCTGAACTCGATCCCTTTCTTAGCCAGCTATTTCTATCTTTTTCCCTCTTGGCAAATTTCCAAAGCCCATGTAAGGGTTAATATTTTGTAAAATGGGGCAAATCTGCTATAGGGAACATAAAAGTAGTGCCACAGCACTGTAGATCACCCAATGTCAGCAGTTTAGAAGAAAAATGGCAATTGACAGGGTAATGGCTATAAAGAATTTTATCAATATGGCCGACACGGAGGCCATATTGAAAATTGAACTTGGACCTCTTGAAGAACTTGTGGTGTTATCTTTGGAGGGAACAAGTATGTTAAGTTTCAGCTTCATTGGTCCTGTGGTTTCTGAAGAAATGTTTATGGCTTGGACAAGGGATGCTGGACGAAAAGGCCAAGACATTTAAGCCCTCTTAACTAATTTAGAGACTAAATCAGTATCGGAATGCTTAAAGGTTTGGCTAAATTCAACAATACCAGGTCAAAACTTTGACAGGATCATAATGAATGGTAGTGAGCCCATGAAATCATCTGTCAATCTCAATTGAAAAAAGAATTTGCACAATCATACTCATAAGCATATTTGAGCACACATATTCAGACCAAAATGGAAAAACGTTATCAAGAAATGGTTACATTCCAAGTATGATCGGATTAACTGAGGTGGTGATCAAGGGAGTGTGTTCAATATTTACTCAAAAGGCTCTACAAATGCATACAAGTAAAGACATTGAAATATCTACAGGTCTTGGAAATGCTGGTTTTTGGAGAAGCTTCAGGAATCCTTTCTTCAAATTTTGCTTGTAAAAACAATGAGTAAAATATTTTGGTACATATCCATCAGTTTATCCCTTCTGCTCCGTGAAAAAGTTTCCAGACAACATGCCACATGATAAACTCGCTTGGATCTCAGGTCAAGAGCTGAGAACCAGGTCACCTCATCAAGAGGTGTAAAAGTTCAAATGAGCGAGTTGGGTTCAACGCCACTTATTACTAACATTATTCCAGTCATACCACAGCGTGTCAGCCTATTGTGGGAGGAAAGCCTTAAGTGATGCAGGTCTCAGACGTTTAACACTTCGGTGAAACCCACTGGCACAGGTATGGTGCAGATAAACCTAGAAACATCATCGGGGCGAACAAGGCTTTGAACCCACAATCACAGGTTTCTGGCGGGTCCAAGGGGCGCCTTGACGACAGGGCCACCCCTGCCCCGGTAAAAGTTAAAAAATGAGTGAAGTATACCATGGTATATGGTATAAGCATCTTAATTCCTTCGAGAGGTGTGGGGCAAATATCCTGTCAAACATTGGCACTTTCCAGAACAAATCACTACCATAGCATATTCCATCCATTCAATATCTTGGGGCTTCCGTATTATGTACATAGTCAAGTCCCATTAATCTGACATGGATGATTGCACATGATCATGTCGGATTAACGAGTATTTTGGATAAACAAAATGAAGTTGTATCAAGGCCCCTGGTTGAAAACCGGACAACTACACAATAGATAATACATATACGTTGTATTAAAATAAAGAAAAAGGAAATATTCATCTTATGTAGTCTGGAATGGAAGTTGCCAGCTTGAAACTAGTGCCAAAAAGCTCAAGAATGCTGCTTTCTTAGTGGCTAACGTCAACTTCCTACTAGTTACTGACAGGTCAAAGTTTGCAAAAGGTTGTTCTGGTGTGACCTGTAATGGGATGTCTTCAGCAGTAGCGAGAACTTGTATCTGATTAAATGAGACTGAGGTAATCTAAACATGATATTAATTGTTTTATTTATTTAAAGCATTAATTGTTTATTGTTATCTGAGTTTATCTCTCCAACTATTGTAATATTCATCTACTAGCCAACTCATCTCTCATCAAAACACAAGGCTGTAATTTGTTGCAAATTAGGCGCGAGACGGAGACTGTCGGATTAACAGGTCTAAGTTCCACGGACTTCCGAACATTAATGTCGGATAAAGCCCATTGTCACAGTAACACGACTTGACTGTATGCATGAAGTATGCTGGGTGTGCTTGTTTTTGGTCAAGTTTCTTCTTTCAATCTAGTATTCTCACAATTAGCCCAATTGCTCATCTTGATTGTAGAGGCCAACTTGAACCTAAATATAATACATCACATTTTCCAGTCCACCGTTCACTAGAGGCCACAGCCATACAGTCTAAACCAGCTGTGATATGGACATTATATAAGAGGCTTCGTCCTTTAGTGTGTGGAAATTATGTTTGGTTGGCATGTGTATATATATTTGTCAGTTTCTATCAGTAGGCAATGATAAATAACATGTTCTTGTGACAAATTTTCAGAATTGTTCATAATATGAACAAACTGACTACTTATCAAGAGTATTCATCTATGGATTAATGTGCAACAACTGGAACCTCCTGCAGCCATCACCTTTCCATGTGTATTCATAACATTTCTGCCCCAAACCTTCAGATGACAATGTTTGTGTGTGTGTGTAGAAACGTTAACCTGTTATACTACAGTGTCTAATCAGAAAACAATGTCCACTTAAACTGTTCAGCATCTATGATTATTGAAAATTAATATTCATTCTGGATAAAGCAGTCAAAATGTATTGAAATATGCACTGTTTATGCAAACAGCTAAACTGAGTCTTATGATTGTCGACCCAAAATTTACTCCATCAATAGCATCGACCTATCACATTCTTCATATGTTAACTCAAATCCATTTACAAAGGCAACAAAATACAAATAAATCTTAGTTCTCAGACACTGCCAAATTATTCACTCACACATAGTATCACAATT